AGTGATACACCATTTGAAAGATAATTAAATTCTCTCTCTTCGACCTATAGAACACTTTTACCCAGCTACTATTTTATTGTTATTAATTATTGATTGAAAATTTCTCATTGAGATTTCCATAGAGATACTTGATTTTCAAAAGTTATTTGTGACTGAACCATATATCGGAGCTGAGTGATCTCGATGCCATATGAAAGTTCATACCTTCCTCTATAAATTAGCTATAGATTGTATTTATCTTGCTCATTTTGTTCAATTGATTTTCAAAAGTTATTTGTGACTGAACCATATATCGGAGCTGAGTGATCTCGATGCCATATGAAAGTTCATACCTTCCTCTATAAATTAGCTATAGATTGTATTTATCTTGCTCATTTTGTTCATACTGTAACTCATGTCTGCAAGAGTGTCCATAGAAATAACATTAATACAAGTCACACCTGGGTGATCAGTATGTCAAAAAATTTCCTATACTTTCTAGTTTTAGAAGCCGTCGAGAGTACCTTGCGATCTAATTTAGTTTTTGAGATATTGCAATTAAAAGGCGGAGGTCCATGGTGAGACACACTGCAGTATCTCATTCTTGTCATAATTATAATTGGCTAACAATCGCATTAAAATCATTTCAAAGCAGCCTTTCTTCACCAATAATAGCTGGTCTTCGGGACAAATGTGAGTGAATCCATTCAAACCTTTTGTAAAAGTGACCACATCTCTGATATGACCCTCATTACGTATGGTAGTAATCCGGGACAATTCATCAAAATCATAAATCTCTAGTATATTTCTAGTGGACGGGTAGATAAATTCTTTTGAGGCATTTAAAACCTCGGTTATACGCGTGGACTTCAACTGATTGGTACCATTATAATCGGTAATAGTCTTAAACACGGGGACGACTGACCACTTCATGAACTCCTGTTTCAGTCGATTCTCGTATGACTTATACTGAATATTTATATCATTTTTGACGATACTTTCAATTTCCATAATCTGTTCATTGAATTCTTCATCACTAATATTAAGTGAAATGTCAATTAAACCCTCGATTTCATCGCCAGTATTATCATTAAATTCTTGCGAAGAATCCCTTTTCGACAGAATATCCACAGAATCTGATTCTGTAGTCATTTGTGTGAGTCGTTTGCGTTTCTCTTCACTCACTTGTCGTCTCCTATTGTTTTCCTCATCGCTTCGTATGAATCCCTGTCCACAAAACAGCAGATATTTAAACAAAAGTTACATAAATTGTTGACAAAATATAATTTTCTACTAATTTCATGCCGACAGCGAAACACTTATCAAGTCTACACTTTTGACAACACTTTCGTGTTTTGGTAGTTATTATGCATTTGCCGTTCAGATGACAATCAAGATGTTTCTGTAATTAAAATTAATAAAAGTAAATTTTAAATGATTATAAGTAATTTTAAAAATCAACTAACATAGTCCTTGGTGACAACGCGTCTAAAAAAGGCTTTACATGTTTCGCAAGTGACGGCCCCATAATTACGACCTGTATATAAATAGACACCAGCACATATCAAATATTAATAGTAAACTCAATATAAATAAGTAAAATTTTGAAATTTTAATTTAAGCAGTGAGATTATTTACTTACCAACTATTTTTGTATCACCACAGATTTGACAAATTTTACTTGTTTTATTTCTATTCATTTTACCAAGATTTATGAAAATTAAAATGCACAGGTTGAAATATTTAGTAAATTGATATAATTATAAGCGTTAGAATATTTCATTATCGAGTATGGGTTAAATATAAAAATACACAAGTTTAATAAATATTTATTAATTAAGAATTATTCACAGGATATAAAACAAACTTAATTGTAAAATACAGTTCAATGAAATAATTTTAAAAGCACACGAATAAGTGGTTACTATTATAGTAACATTTGGTAGAGTAAACAATTATAATTAATTATAATGGCATAAAATAAAATTATTTTTCTTTTGATAAATTATGGCAATACATGGTAAGGTATAGCAATAGGCATGTAACATGTTGCATGTGCATTAAAATAATGTCATCATAATATTGATGTTTCATACCGACAACTACTATGAATGTCAATAAAATATATTTTATTTTTACTCAATTAAAGTTATTTATTAAAAACGCATAAAAATAATATTTGCACAAAATAACTTTATTTTACAGAGTTGTGTATTTTACACAATATAAATATGAATGTACTAGGAATTTATTAACAGGTTTAAATTAACTGTAACTATGATTACAGCGTATATACAGGGTACTCTGTAGTGCAAATCATACACCGAGACCTTCACTGTAATGATTGCAATATTATTGCCTAATGAATGACTACTTTCTTAATGACACTCAAAAACCTTTTAATGAATAAAATTATAAAACAATTGCCTATCTTATATAAAATACATCTACATCCAAATATTCATCTATACAATATTTCAATTTCTTTAAATTTAGTTTCATTAGAAAAATATTAATCATAACAAGCACCATATTTACAAATTATAAATTATATATTTCTCTGAAAAGTGGTCCAAAATACTGAATAAGTTGTTTGTATTCTCGCACACTGTGAGCCAGATCCAATTCACTTATAACATGCAAATCAATTAAACTCGTTATTACTGATGATAACATTGATCGCGAGTCCGAATTTGGTCCATATTTTAATTGTAGATACCTTTGCAATAAATATACAGAATGTATGTATAGATGCCGTTCCAGTCCAACACATTCAGCATTTTTAAAGAAATTAATTATTAAGAAATTCAAATAAATCACAAAATGTAAACTCACTTAACTTTGTGTCTATGGGTTAGGTGGGGGCGATTCGGGTTGAATAACAAGATAACCGTCCACCATGACGGACCCATGTGAGGAACCATGTGATTGACCATGCTCACAAACATGTGAGGATAACTGTGTGAATGATGAGGATAATGACAAATGCAAAAAGGACTGCAAGGAAACATGCACCAAGCAACATTGCACTGAATGGGATGGCAAAGGGGAATAATCCCGGTGCCACTCCATAGGATAGTTTAACACAGACACAAGCCGTGTGCCTAAATGGAGCGAGATCAAATAGTTGAGCAAAATTTCAAAATTAAAAATAATGAAAATTGTAATAATCTATTTAAGTCAAAATAAATATTTTATTTTTTATGCTTGCTTTACTGCTTTAATATTATTGTAAAATTTGGTTATTACTGTATAAACTATGTATCTAAAATAGTTGCTACTATTAAATCATACTAGTTTATTTTAAATTAGTATTAAACTCAAATAAATTCTGGATAACTATCGACTGGATTCACAATATTAGTCTACACTACAAGTGATGTCTTATAAAATATGTTTTTAAAAATTACTATTAAATAAGTTTCTACACTATATTCACAACTAAATAATTTTTATATTACTTTTTTTTGGTTTAATAAATACTTGAATGGCAACCAAAACGCCTACCGATCCCATCAGCTGCTCCTAAATGTCTTGAGCCCATACTTGAAATCTTAAGAATACTAAGAGCACTCTTTTATAATAATTATCAAATAAAAAGTTTTTGGAATGAAACAATAATTAAATTTTATAAAAATTAATTTATATTCCAATAGTTATAAACACACAGTCAGTATTCTTGAGATACTAATACCACATTGCTACCTAGTTTAAAATGCTACCTAAAACCACATCTATATCCCCCTAAACAACATAACCTGTCACAAATTAATAACCATTAATTCATGTAAAATAATTTATATCGTTATAATAAAGATAAATAATATGCCTATATTACAATATTTGGTATATAAAGTGAGATATACAGTATATCTGAATAATGTATCATAGGATTTATAAGAATATAATAAAGTATTCATAAATATCTTTTAAAAGCAAGATTTCAATATTAACTCAAAATTAAGTTGAATTCTTATCATTAATTTATTCAATTTACCTCTAAATATGTAAATTTTTATGTTAAAATCTTTTTCGTACAATTCCTGGACACTACATTGTCCAGGTGAGACCTTTCCCTGGACACTGGACAGATACCCTAATTCCTGGACAGTTGGTCACTGTACCTGTAGCTCACGTACACTACAGTCATCAGGACGTGTACCTCACGTACATCACTCCACAACATTCCTTAGAGTCATACTCTACTCAACATATTCTCGCCCTTAGCTCCATAATAGCTACTGAGATGCCTTCCCTATGCCATACGATTAAGGTTGGCATTTTCAGTGAAATTTATTTTTCGTGAAATATTTAACTTTTAGGTGAAATTTATTTTTAATGTATAAAAGCATTGGATTTACATAGGCGTGATCCACAAAGTACATACGCACGCCTAGGGAGAGGGGGGGTCATGCCAAAATGTATGTCCCCACGTTAAACTCCTATGTACAAAGGGCGTGTAGGGGGAGGGGGTCAATTTTTTGACCAAAATTTTGCGTACGTACTTTATGGATGACGCCATTTCCTCCGATAGAGGGCGACCTTAAGTGAAATATATTGAAATTTATTTTCAAATGAAATATTTCAGTTAAATTTATGAAATATTTCACTACAGCCAACCTTACATACGATAGTATATTCTAAGCTCTCATACAAAGTCATGCCAAAATGTATGTCCCCACGTTAAACTCCTATGTACAAAGGGCGTGTAGGGGGAGGGGGTCAATTTTTTGACCAAAATTTTGCGTACGTACTTTATGGATGACGCCATTTCCTCCGATAGAATATCGTGCACAGAATTTTTTAGGTCAAAAATAAGTTTTCTCTATGTATTATGAAAATACAGGTAAAGGTGTAAAACAATAAAATAAGTATAAAATAAATACATAGAGAAAACTTATTTTTGGCCTAGAAAATTCTGTGGACGATATAGAGTATCGATGCAAGCAAATAATATTTAGTATTTTGAAAGACAATTCGAACAAAGTTGAGATCACCCCGATCCATTGAACCGTTGCTGAGATTAATGAATTT